CGTCATACCAATATACGACCACAAAAATTTTTTTGCGGTCGTATAAAAAGACAGGTGTGATTATACAAAATCAAAATAATTAACAGAATTGATATGATAAGAAACAAATGTAATACTATTCTTAGTCCTTCAGAAATCGACAATTCTCTGCTTTTAATTTACTTTTTTTCTTTCTGAATCTTCATTACAAGAACCAACACTCATGCAGATGAAATGTATCAGGGAAAAACCTAATTTTACAGGTTACTGATATGGATAATTTCAGAACGTTTTGATAATTGAGTGGTGATTAATTTCAGGTTTGTTGCAAAATGGCACACGTGCCATTAATCTAAAACGCAATTTCAATTACACGTGCAAAGGAAATGAGAAACAATGTGCAATATCAATCTGTAAACATAAAACAAAAATCTTTAGATCTAAATGAAGATATTTTTTCAGTTATTTTGTTTCAGAGATTACAAGTGTGACAAAGAGAACGGGAATTTCTGATTTCAATAGTTGTTCATTCCATAGACCATTCAATTCAAAATTGATGCGTTGCAGTTAATCAATCTTTCGTGTCAGATTGTTTGGTGAAATTTGACAACAACATGCATCAATATGAAAGCAATTTTCGTTCCTTGCTTAAATGTTCTTTCGGTTACTCGTTAAGACGATGAAATATGTTTTAGTTGCAAAAAATAGAAGACTTTTTGGCATCGGTTTCTAATAATCGAACTTCACCAATAAGTAGAATCATGTGATTATAATGGAAACATATTTACAGAATTTTCTAGTTGTTATAATTTTAATCTACACGAAACGGACACTCTGCCAGAATGTAAATGTCACACATTATACATAAAAAACTACATTATGTATGTAAGTGTATGTGTGTCGTTTTTAACTCCTTAGACCTTTTAGGCTTTCTTTCAACAAGTGTCACAGATAGCGGGAAAAGAAAACCAAAGTACAAAAGAATATATGACTTTTAAAAAATATATGATGTGCTCAAAAAAACATGTTTTAAGATGATGACGGACTGGTGTCTAATGCCAATTTAGGAGCCATCCCTACAGATTTCTATAAATGATTTTACCAATTTTAGGTCAGGCAGGTTGAAAATCGATTGGGCTTATTAATTCCAATATGTGTATTATTTCTGTCCGTTGGGTGATTCTTTGACTCTCTGTTGTAGCATATTGTACCTGTGAGACACAAATATCTAAATTATTTGAATTTCTATTTGAACTAAACATTTTTCTGCAAGACATTCAAATAAAAGAATGCTTAAATAAAAATCTTAACAGATAAATGTATTTTTAAACCATATGTGCTTCCTATTGAAGCGTCCTAAGTACCAATGGCCATTCATTTATAACGATGGAAATCAACGAAACCCGCAATACCTTCCAAAATTATCAGTAAGTTACATTACTCAACTTCTTTTCACAGGCAATTGATGCCTTTGGGATATTATATAAGTAAAAAGTGGTAACTTGATAGTATTCAAAGTGAAACATACCTTTAATTTTTGTTTTTTATTATAATTCTGGATTTATATTGATTTAAATTACGTCCATCATTTTAGTACATTTTATTATTCTGTTAAAACGATATACTCCAGCTCTCCATATATAGCTCTGGATAGATCAGGGAGTAGAAGAACCCGTTAATGATACTTTAAAAGCTTTTAAGTACAATCAAATACTTTAACTTCTATAGGTGTATAGTTCCAGGATGAAGAGTTACTCAATATAACAGCGAACTACAATTCCCGAAGGAATTTCCTAAGTATTTAATGGTAAAGTAGAGGTACGGACTCATAGAAATCACGTAGCTACGTATAGCCCTCCGTTGTTACATGTTTATCTGCAATATTTACATACCGCAAAAACCATTTCTAAACATGAACGATTTGAACAATTTGTATTTGTAGTTTGTTTGCAAAAAGATGTCCCAAAAGAGGGAATACAGTTATAACTGTTAATAAGATAACATATTCAAGCAATTAAAAATCTTGAATTAGATGTTGGAAAAATATGACAGATAGACTATATATGAAATACACGACCAAAGACAGACATAATTTAATACAAATATACTGTAAACCAATTAATTTTTGCGAGCGATTTATTTTTTCGCGACTTTCGCGAGTAGAAAAATAACGCGAATATAAATCGTCGAAAATATGTAAAACTTGGATCTTTCCTTATTAAACTACATCAAGTAAATTAGAAAATCGCGAAATTAAATAGCCACGAAGTGGACCAGAAAGTGTTAAACGCGAAATAAAGTATCCGCGAAAATAAGTTGGTTTACAGTAGATGGAATCTTAAGACAGTAAACAGAAGCCGTACCGACAACCTTACAGTCATTTTTCTGTGTTTATGTCGTTTATGGTGGGGTTCGTGTTGCTCAGTCTTTAGTTTTCTATGTTGTGTTTATTGTACTATTGTTTGTCTGTTTGTCTGTTCGTCTGTTTGTCTTTTTCTTTTTTAGCCATGGCGTTGTCAGTTTATTTTCGACTTGTGAGTTTGAATGTCCTTCTGGTATCTTTCGCCTCTCTTTTATAAACATGTTTGTATAGCATTGTATTGCCCTTTTTTATATCATGAGAAACTTTATTTCGAAGGAAAATATCCCAATAAAAATGACATACCCATGTCATCAACAAAATCAGTTAAGGCATAAATAAAAACATAATAGTAAAACTGAGATGTAGAGTTTTGATAACACTCTTCTTTTTGGAGGAATCGACCGGTTGTTGGTAGTTGATATGGTTTGTTGTACTATCCAATCTTTTAAGCAATTCTTGATATCTTTGGATTTATTTATTGTTTATGGGTTACCATGGACTACAAATGTTAACCATATTTCTTTATAGTTCGGTTACACATCATAATTTATTGTGATTAAGCCACTTTGGAAATTATTGATTTTTAAAAGATCTAATATTTTGAAATAGCTTTTTTTTCTCTAAAATTTCAACATCCTCCTAGTAAACTGTAATCCTGTTAATAATTTAACATTAACGTATATTCCAAAGTGTTATAATTTGGGTAATGCATTTAGTGTCCTTTACATGATAGAGAGTGCCCATCTCCCTTTTGTGTGTTGTTTTGTTTTTATTCGTGTCCTTCGGGAACAGTTTTTACCAAAATTGCTCAAAAGCAATATAAATTTATAAAACATCAAGAGTTAAATACAGAACATACTATAATAACAGAAAAAGGATATGTAAATGTTCAAGGCACATACTCATTACCCGCACTGGATAAATCCAAACATTGTCATTATATTAAAGTCTCAATTATACCTTCAACAAGGAACAGACATTTTGAATATGGCTGCAAATTTAAGATGGTCCTAAGCATCGATTTTAGGGGATTTTATTTGTGAAGAACACGATAGAGGTTTGATATAATATTAATAACACATTATATATAGTTGCAAGGGTGATAGAGTAGATCTTTCCCTGCGAAAAACATTGTCAACCGTGGCAAAGTCAAGGTCGACAGAGTTTTATTCGAGGGATAACATTTTGCTCTATCACCTTCTAATCTATGGTTATTTAATTTATTATAATAAAATTGAGAATGGAAATGGGGAATGTGTCAAAAAGACAACAACCCGACCATAGAGCAGACAACAGCCGAAGGCCACCAATGGGTCTTCAATGCAGCGAGAAACTCCCGCACCCAGAGGCGTCCTTCAGCTTGCCCCTAAACAAATATGTATACTAGTTCAGTGATACTGGACGTCATACTAAACTCCAAATTTTACACAGGAAACTAAAATTAAAAATGATACAAGACTAACAAAGGCCAGAGGCTCCTAACTTGGGACAGGCGCAAAAATGCGGCGGGGTTAAACATGTTTTTTGAGATCTCAACCCTCCCCCTATATCTCTAGCCGATGTAGAAAAAACAAACGCACAACAGTACGCACAGTAAAACTCAGTATAAGAGAAGTCCGAGTCCGATGTCAGAATAGGAAACAAAAAAAAATAAACAAAATGACAATAATACATAAATAACAACAGACTACTAGCAGTTACTGACATGCCAGCTCCAGACCTCAATCAAACTGATTGAAAGATTATGTCTGCATCATATGAATATCAGACACAATCCCTCCTGTTAGGGGTTTAGTATTATACCGTCATAAAATATATGAGAAGAACATAACCCGTGTCATGCCAACAACTGGTTTTAGAATAAATGTGTTTAATTCCGATGTAAAGACCCTATAAGTGAAACAATATTAAAGCCAAAATATGCAATCTTTAATGACCTGACAACAGTATCGTAACTATATCCCTTCTTAATAAGTCTGTTTAAAGGTTTTGTTAGCTTTTGAGGTGAATACTGACATTTTTGTGCTTTGTAAAGAATAGTACCATAAAAGATTGGATGTGAATGAATGTTCTGTTATGATTGTTATCTTTTTTAGTACCGACCTAAACTCAAAATCATTAAATTGATATTGTTTTTGTTTGCAATTATTGCCTTTCAATTTATTGCTTATTGATTGGTTTGATTGAGAGGGTAACATTAAAATGAATGTTACCCGCCGAGCAATATGTTAGAGTATAATGTCAACTTCTTATTAACTAACGAAAACAGGCATTTACACACAAGTATTATAATAACAAATGACAGACTAATTCTGCGATAGTTCATTTCTCAATACCACAAGAAACCATGTTCCATCATTAACCCAGTGAATTATATCACTCAAAATATTAGCAGAAGTCACCAATATTTCCCATAATACAACTTTCCTTAACATTTGATATAAACGTACTAAATGAAATCGACAACTTTGCCAATATCATCTTTAACTAATCAAAATCTCTAGAATAGTTTCTTCTCTACCTAAATCGATGTCGATATTACGTATCTTTATATAACAGCTACACAACTAATCTATCTTTAAACCACAAACTACAAAATATCTGACATGTGCTATTCAATCTAAAAATATGAAAAATTATGATAAACAACAATACTTACATACAAAACATAAGTAATCCCATCCAGCATGTGTTAACTAAGCCGGACATCTTTTTAATGATGAAGCTCTCCTGTAAAGTGTGATTAACGACATTACCACATGTCTGTACATTCGTCAGTGTTTATATTTATAAATATATATCTGCAGTGTGCAACATGTTGCAGTCAGTACTATCAATACTTTGTAGAAAAAACCTACAAAAGTAACAAAAAACTGATTGATTTTTAATTCATCGTAAAATAGATTTCTTTATTTTGTCAAATTGCAGCCGTCATTTGTTGTGTATTGATTGGTCAGAATCGTTTGAGCTCTTTTTACACTCATTGCTAAGTAATTTTCCAGATAAGGTTGTAGGTTATTACAATCTATATCAACAGACGGGGCATGGTTAGAGATTATTTTAACACTTTATGCTTAATGATTACAGGCAGTTAAGTGAACTTGTGAACGGTAAACCGAGCATGAAAAATCAACAACATAAAAATATTGTCTCTTTTAAAAATTAATAGGTACTTCTGAAAATAAAATTTAGAAATATTTGGAGGGGTTATATTGGCTGAAATTTATGAAAATAATAAAGCTGAAGAGGGGATAAATGGTTGTAATGAATATTGAAAAAAAAAATATCAAAAATTAAATACAATCATAATCAGACATCATTTTTGCAGTACTTTCCATGATTTCCCGTCACCAGGAATGTGTAGGGTACAGCAGAAAAAGTTGGAAATACAAGGGAATCTAAATCCCAAAACAAAACCTAACACAGTATATAAAATACCAAAATATCAATGTTAAAAGGGGAGAACAACGGAAACTGTACCAAACAGCTCACTGACGAAGGACTAAAGGAAAATAAACAGATGTACAAACAGACAACAAAGCAGTATATATAAAGATAGCAAAAACTTGAAACTGAATTTTTGAAGAATTTAATCTCAAAATTTAAATAAAACGATAGTGACAACAGCAGTCAGAAATATAAATACGTCCTGCTGTGCATACCAGGACAGTAGTTGCATTCTACGAAGTAAAGTCGGTAATTTGTATAATTCGAAATTGTTCAATTTTATGAGCTAAATGCAAATCAACTTGACAAGTCTTTGTATATATACTATATACCAGTATAGTTGTCTTATCTACAATTTTGTGAATGATAATTTTTACTGTGAATGAATTTGCATGGCGGGTGATGCGAGCATAGCAGGAACGATCATCCTGTCGACGCACTTACTGTTTCGAGATTTGAACATCGGTACACTACTGTCTCTCTGATTTATACTTCCACGACTACTTTTATGCTCCCGCCGCAGCGGAGGGGGCATTTAGACCCCGTTTACACTTGAACGAAATTGAATCGATCTTTATTTGAATCGATCTTAAAAAGACCAGTTTGCGTTTACACTGCACACGCAATATCGATTGCGATCGATCTTATTTAATCCGGTGCGTTTACACTACAATATAAAAGAACCGGTCTGACCTAATTACCTTGCATTTCGTAAACAAACAATCGTAAAAATAGAAAGAAATAAGCATTTCCCGCAGTCTCTAAAAGTATGGAAACGTTTTTCGTTTACCTCCTGATTTTTTATTTTCAAGTTTTGTTTGAAAATACTTCGTTTTCAGTCTTTTGATTCTTGCACGGCAGTCCTGTGCATTTCTGTCAAATTAGTGAATCCTGTCTTTAATATCAGTACATATCCTCTTCAATATGTCCAAATTTCTCTTCGGCGTGTTTTCTAATTGATCCTGGATATGTTGATCACCCCATAATTCTATTAAGAGTACAGTCTCTTCTTGACTCTATGCATCTCCTCTTTTGCCGTCCATTGTTTTAAATACGTGAATATTTGGCGCCGAACATTCGCAGACTTATTTCGAGTCTAAATATACACTTTCACTTTTAAAAGGATCGATCGCGATCGATCTAACCGTTTACACTGGAAAAAAGATCGATTAAAAAATCGATCTTTTTAAAACCACCTCTAGAGGTAGACTTTTTAAGTCCGATTGAAGATCGATCTTTCCCGTTTACATTAGACCAAAGATCGATCTTAAAAAGATCGATCTCAGTAAAGATCGATCTTTTTTGCTAGTGTAAACGGGGTCTAAGTGTTACCCTTGTCCGTTTGTACGTCCCAAAATTTGTTTCCGTTCTCTAACTTTAGTTTGCCTCAACTAAATGTTATGAAACTTACACACAATGCTTATAACCAGAATACACATATCAAGTGTGAATTTGGGTTGCGTTCCTTTTACCGTTCTAGATTTATCCCCCTTCACAAATGGAAAAATGCTGAATTTTCCGTTACCGTTCTCTTACCTAAGTTTGCCTCAACCAAATGTTATGGAACTTATACACAATGCTCAAAACACCCAAACTCAGATCCAGTTCGATATTGGGTGGTGTCACTTTTACTGTTCTTGAATTATGTCCCTTTATTATGTTATATGCAACCGGGGGCATCATCTGTGTCCCATGGACACATTCTCGATTTATTTTTTATAATTTACACCAACTTATAGTTCGTTTGATCATAGTTCTTCATTAGTCAAAATTACATTATGATGTCAAATTTTCTTCCTCTGAATGTTTTTAGTGTGACAGCACAAAAAAGGTTAACATGCCTGATGATGTCACAAAGAAAGAACACATCTTTTCGCAGATCATTGGAAAGATACAGTGTGTCTACATTATCGTCTAAAAATCATTAGAGAAACAGATTTCTTCAACGAATATTGTTTGATACAAAATTGTCTATCTGGTTTTTTTTGCAATACAGAACATGTCTGATAAAAGTTTTGACAACGTGGCCTTATATTTTTTTCAGTTAATCCTAAATTGTGAATATTGAAAAACATTGGGATTCTTTCGAATTCAATGACATTCATCTATTCAACATCATTTATATAACTGTGAAAACAGGCACATATTGTTATTTCAAAATTGTCAACTGTGTTTGAATATTTATCAATGATGAAACAGTGGGAACTAGTGAGAAACGAGAACAAAAAACGAATCGATAAGTGAAACGTTCTGCATACTATGACATATTGAATTTCAGTTTTCGAGATGTACTGTAAAAACGCAAGTAGAAAGTAAAATAACAAAAATACCAAACTCCAAGGAAAATTCAAAACGGAAAGTCCCTTAACAAATGACAAATCAGAAGGTCAAACACATCGAACGAATGGAAAACAACTGTCATATTCCTGACTTGGTACAGGCATTTCATTGTGTAGTAAATGGTGGATTAAACCTGGTTTTATAGCTAGCTTAACCTCACACTTGTATGACAGACCCCCCTCCCCCAAGGGATACTAGGGAATAGAAATACCATTGGACTCCCTCTGATCGGCAATAAAACACTCGCCAAAGTGATAACATTATAATTATAAGAAAATTGTTTTTAAAATGATTTTAAGCAGCACTGTTGGAGAACTAAATCATTTGTTTTTGTTACTTCATCACATCTGACGCTATTTTTAAGGGCAATTCTCACTTGCGTTAGTCTGAAATAAATCCATTTCGCAAATGAAAATCCTAATTTGCCTTCGGACGTAAGCAATCACAATTTACAGAACCATTTATTTCACGTAATAAATGAATAAAAGTCATTATATTTTATGTGTGGCTTAAGGCAACAAAGCAAACTAGTCCATTGAAGTGTTTATTGATAGAATATCGATGTTTAAGATATTGTGTAATAGTTAAAATAGCGTATGAGCCAATCTAAATAAAGTATATCGGAAGAATGCGGTTGGTTATTTCTCCTGATATCTTAATTTAGATAATAACATATTATAGTGCTTAAACCTTAAGAACACCGTAAAGCTTTTGGATTGAGTGAAGAAAATCTTACGTTTCTATTTAAATCTGAGATGTGACTGCAAACAAGCTCATATTGAACTAGCAGGAAATTGTACATTGCACTGCAGCAGAGTGTCAAGGGAATATCATAATTAAAAAAAAATTATAGATAGGAATTGTCGTCCAACTTGTTTGAAATTATGATAATTTGCAAGATTACCAGGAAGAATTCTACAATCAAAATCTAAAAAGTTCATTTGTAACTATTTACGTTAAGTTCCGTAAAGTTGAGATGAATTAATTTCATATATGTAGAAAAATCTAAATCCTATTTGAGTCCATATATTTAAATGCTGAATATAAAGTTTTATGATCGACTTGATATATAACAACAGGACTTTGCATTCACTAAAACATTTTTTTTAAATGATCAACTACATTTCTTCCTCATCCTCAAGTTCAATATTCTCTGCTTCAAACAGTCTTTATATTTCACGCCAACGCGTCCAGTGTGAATAGCATGACCTAAAAACATACATAGTTTGGCCAAATTCGAGATGAAAAATAAGGCAATAAGAAGTTATGGTCCACAGACTATTTCTATCTTAAATCTTCAATGTTCATCGACTTTCTAAGATGATACCATGATCATCATTATACCTAAAAGATAAAACCAACTCGTCTGATTAGCAAATTGAAAAGCAAAAGTTCATTTTTCTACATGTGCGACAAATGAATGAATGAGAATGGCAATCAATTGTGACATGTTGACTGTAATAAACCTTTGAAGGTCGCCGTTCTATCATTGTTTCTGTGAATGAATGTCGCCTTGGTTTATAACTTACGAGGAGCAGCTGCTCGGATACAAGCTATAAAGAAGATAGAATCTAGTTGTTTTGATTTATCAATTAAAATATAAGATGAATGTCAGACTTTTATAAGTTAAATATAACCATCTGGAGTACGATAATACAATCCTGGTATCTTTGATCAGTATTTTTTATAACAGTTAATAAAATTGTGAAGAACAGCATTTAAAATAACAATTACTGATGATTCTTTAAAGGACTCTTGATATTCCGACAGTGTATGGTTAAAGATTTACAATGCTAATATTTGCAATTATATATATGCGGTGCCAGGTTAAAAGTTTGTGTCAATAAAGCAACTTGTGAGAAATGCTGCCGGACAGAGACATAACCCTTAGAACTAATTTGAAAAGATTGTAGTGCGAACAATATAAAAATTTACTTAAAAAATTTGATAATTCCTTTATATTTCAAGAGATTCAAGATTTTCATTTTTCTAGATTCAGTATTGATTTCCATTCA